CCCCTTTTCACTTCGATGGGGCCAAAAAAATCCACTCCTACATTAGTAAAAGGTGGAAAATCAGGGGTGATCCTTTCTACTGGAAGGTCTGCCATCTTCTGTTCACCCAACTTTCCCTTATAACGTCTACAGATGACACACTTGGAGATGATCTTTCTTGCAACAGAGTTGGCATTTGTAATCCAGTACTTGCACCGGAGCTTGGAAACCATTTGATTTCTGCCACCATGACCCAATTGTTCATGAATGTCTCGAAGTATGAGATGTGACACATGCTGATCCTTCGATAACAAGATGGGATGTTTCCTTTCACTTGGCATAGCTGACTTACCAAGTCTTCCTCCCACTAACAGCAGTCCATCATGCAACATAGGATCCAAACTATAGACAGAACTGTTTCTTTTAACATCAGTACTTCCCTCCTTGAGCTCAGCAATTTCCTCTTGAAATTGTTCCTGTTGACTGAAACGAATTATGCCAATCTCCGCCTTATACAGATCCTTCACAGTCAAACTTTGTCTGCCCAGAGATGCTTTAAATTCCTGTCGTTTTGCATTTAAAGCAATGCTGTCAATCTGCTCCAAAGACAACTCCTTTCGTTTACGACTCAGCTCCAACAGAAGTTTCTGCAGTTTCAAAACCCAAGCAACTGCAACTTTCAGACGTTTCCATTCTGAGAAGTAATGGAGAAGTTGACTTGTGGCATTTTGTCCATTCTGCAAGACCACAGCATTTACCTTTAACTCCTTTTTTACTTCTGGGTCATCATCAGTCAAAGTCAAATCACTTGTGGGGACTGTATATCACTCGGCTTCCAGAGAAAACTAGGACCATCAATCCATCGCTTATTGCTCAGAAAATATTCCACTTTCAAACCGCGAGATGCATCATCTGCAGGATTTTCTTTAGTGGGTACATATCTCCACTGTTGAGGTTGTGTTGCGTCTCTTATAGAAGACACCCTATTAGCAACGAATGTATGAAACCGCTTGTCCTCATTCTTAATGTAATTGAGGACAGTTGTGCTATCAGTCCAAAAGACTGAATCTTCCAATGGAAGTTTCAACTCCTTCTTCAGCATAATGTCAACCTTGACTGCCAAGACAGCTGCTGTAAGTTCCAAACGAGGTATGGTCACAGGTTTCAACGGTGTTACTCTGGACTTACCCAGCAAGAAAGCCACATGTACCGTGTTTGCACTATTCAGTATCTTCAGATAAGAAACTGTGCCATAACCAGTTTCGCAAGCATCAGAAAAATGATGTAAACAAGCATGAGTGGGCAGTCCAAAATCCATGGGTTTAAAACATCTGTTCACCTGGAACTTTGCAACTTTGGATTTTCGAGTTGGACAATGGTTCCATTGCTTCTGGAGGACTGATGGTATAATATCATCCCAGCCCAAAGTCTGTCTGCACAACTCCTGTAAAAGCACTTTAGCAGGCAGAACAAGCGGAGCAAGAAAACCCAAAGGATCATAGACAGAGCTTACCACAGATAGAATGCCTCGTCTTGTGCAAGGTTGATTTTTCAAGGAAATCTTGAATTGAAAGGTATCAGCTTCCACACTCCACTGGAGACCTAAAGCTCTTTCAACAGGCAACTTCTCTCAATCCAAATCCAGCTGCTGTATATCCTTGGCTCGCTTTTCCTCAGAAACTGACTGCAACACCTTGCGACTATTGCTGATCCACTTTGCCAAACGGAAACCTCCTTTCTGACAGAGAGAGGTAAGATTTTTAACCATAGAAATGGCCACTTCCTCAGAGGAGACGCTCTTCAAACAATCATCCACATAGAAGTTGTTGTTGATTGTTTCAATCACTTCTGATGGAAAGTCAGCTTCGTTGTCCTTTGCTGTTTGTTTTAAGGCGTAACATGCACAGCTTGGAGAAGACACTGCTCCAAAAACTGTCATCCTGAATGTAATGGGTTCTTTAGTCAATTCTCCACCAGACCACCACAAGAAACAAAGAAAGTCTACATCCTCCTCAGCCACCTTAACTTGGTGGAACATTGCTTCAATGTCCGCCATGAAGGCTACTGATTCTTGCCTGAATTTCAGCAATACACCTACCAAAGAATTAGTAAGATTAGGGCCTTGCAAGACTATTAAGTGTTGTTCCCTTATATGTTGCTCCACAGTCGAACACAACTCTCAATGATCCCTTCTTAGGATGAAACACCCCGTGATGAGGAATGTACCAAACTTTGCCATCCACACGATCAAGTTGATGATCTGGTACCTTCTCAGCATAGCCCTTGTGTACAACATCAGTAAGAAAATCAGAATACTTCTCATGAAACACCTGGTTTCTTTCCAGTTTCCTTTTCAGACCATGCAATCGTTGCTTAGCAACACAGAGGTTGTCAAATAGTGTGACATCGTCAGTCTTGAATGGTAATCTTAGACTGTAATGTCCATCCTGCAGCAAGACTGTACTGTTCATTATGCTCATAAACCGAAGATCTTCCCTTGACATTTCTCTTTCATCAGCAGTCCTTTCACTGAAATCATGATTGAACTGATTGTTAAGCAACTCTTCCAGTTTAACAACAGAAATTCTGTTGACAGTAACAGCAGAATGCCCAGCTTCATTCTTACGGTCACTGTTTCCCTCCACCCCTCCACAGTCAACCCATCCCAATAGGGTTTTAATGGCAAATGGCCCATTACCATGACTGTTTATTATTTCGTATGGTTCTATGGTTCCAGCTGCATTAGTTCCAATCAGTAAATCTACACCTGCTTGAATGTACGGTATCTTTACCTTGTCTAAGTATGACCACTTGGATAACTCCTCCGGAGTAATGATGTTCTCAGAGTTAACAGGCATCTTTTGCTGCGTGTAGACAACAGGAAGTGGGAAGAAATGTTTGGTGTTTATACCACTGATTTCCAGTCCATCAATATCACTGCAGGACACAGACTGTTCTTGACCCATTGTGCGAAGAAGAATATTAACCTTCTTTCCACTCAAATTCAGCTCATTCCTCAAATGTTCTGAACAAAAGGTTGCGGAACGTCCTGGGTCCAGAAAAGCATATGTCCGCATCACTTTGTTACCTTTAACAGCTTTGACTTGGACTGGTATGATTGACATCAGACTCCTCTCGTTCCCAGCCCCTGTGTGACCACAAATTTGAGCAGACACTACCTTGCGCTTCTCCTCTGGCTCTTTTACGGTTACCTCCTTGTGATATATGTGCAGGATTGTGGGGTGTGTTTCTCCACAAA